TTTAAAAGGTATCTAATGTGAAGAGTAAGATGGAGGAGAGAAATGAAAGACTGAATTAGGTCATCTAATCTTTAAAACATGAACATTTTAAAATAAAAAGTATTTGTTCAGTCTTTTAAATGTTCATAATGTTAAGAATCTAGTCAACTATTCTGTTACCTTCTCTAGTCTTCCCCTCTTCGATCATAAACATCTCTTCCTCTCTGCTCTCAAATGAAAGGAATCCAATTTAGTTTAATATAAATCAGTTTAAACTAAGTTATCTAAGACCCTTCTGGCCTCCACTTGGGAGTTCAAGAAAGGCTGGGGTAACAGAGCTAGGGGAAAAAGTTTTTATAAAAAATTATTATTAAGGCTAACCCGTATTTTGAGGTGTTGTATTATGGCTTTAAATGTCCAGAAATCTTTGAAGAAGTACTCATCTTTAGATTGGGAGTGGGATCTCAGCATCTCTGAAATATATGAGAAAAACTCTGGCTTTGTATTTTTTCCCATCAAATCAGGAGAATAACATACATCTATTGGGCTTGCATATGTGGCAGAAACATGGCGATTTGGTCAAGCAGTTCTTCTGACGGGGCAGAAGCCTCTAGATTCCTAGCTGAGTTTCTAAAGTAAGTTCAGATAAAATATGCTATTATTCTTGGGGATGTTCACTTAGTTGAGAAAAACGAAGTGGTGGGCAGAGTACTGATATTCAGGGAACAAAAATCTACACATAACACGTCTATTTGAAGAATTCTTATGGAGTATTTGCTCCCCACCTTCCACCCAAATTGAATCTACATTTTTACAATCTGGAATGTAAAGAAAAACTAACAGCAGTGAGTGGGGCTGCTAGAAAAAGATTTCTGCCAGGAAGTGACCCTTGCTTTTCTGACTTGCATTCTGTGAGAATTTTATTGCTCTCTGGGAGGGATGGCTCCCTTTCTCACTTATCAATAAGAAGTCATGTCTAGTCTGTCTCTTTCCAAATTATGTACACACCTGGAAGTCACTGAGGAGAAAAGGAAGGCAGACCAAGGCCTTGAGAAGAACTGGGGACACAGGAACAAAGATTCATGTACACATGTAATAGGTAATAGGAAAATATAAAAAATCCATTCTACTTAACTTATTTCAGCATTAAAGCAATTATTTTTATTCTTTAGGGAGTAAAACACATTCTTAGAAATTATATGAATATATAATCTGTGCGTTTTAGCTGTATGGAAAAGGTAAAGAACATTTAAAAAATCTTTCAATTAGAATTCTCTATAGTTTTGTTAAACATTTTTAAAATTAATTAATTAATTTATTTATTTATTTTTGGCTGTGTTGGGTCTTCGTTTCTGTGCAAGGGCTTTCTCTAGTTGGGGCAAGCAGGGGCCACTCTTCATCGCGGTGCGCGGGCCTCTCACTATCATGGACTCTCTTGCTGTGGAGCACAGGCTCCAGATGCGCAGGCTCAGTAGTTGTTGCTCACAGGCCTAGTTGTTCCACAGCATGTGGGATCTTCCCAGACCAGGGCCCGAACCCGTGTCCCCTGCATTGGCAGGCAGATTCTCAACCACTGCGCCACCAGGGAAGCCCAGTTTTGTTAAAATTTGATATCAGAAAACACTCATGCAAGAAGAGAGTACAGTGAAATATTTAAAGTGTTGGGGACTTCCCTGGTGGTCCAGTGGTTAAGATTCTGCACTCCCAATGCAAGGGGCCTGGGTTCGATCCCTGGTCAAGGAACTAGATTCTGCATGCCGCAACTAAAAATCCCTCATCTGCCATGCTACAATGAACACCCGGCACAGCCAAATAAATAAATACATATTTAAAAAAATAAAAAATAAAATAGTATTGTAAAACAAAAACAAAAAACCACCCAGCAATCTAGAATTCTATATCCAGTAAAATTATCCTTCAAAAGCAAAGGATAAATACTTTGTCAGATAAAAACTGAGGGAATTTATGTCCAGCACACTTGCCCTGTAAGAAGTGTTGAAAGAAGTTAAGGGAGAAGGAAAATGATATGCCAGAAAAGTTTTATATAAGAAAAGCATCAGAGAAGGAATAAATGAAGGTAAACAAAAACAGATAATTTGCTAGTTTCAAAAACCCTTCTTTAGTCTACAACTTGAATATACTCTCTTAGAACAATCTCTTTTGAGAGACAGAGATATGTGAAAAACACACACATTCATGAAATTCTAGCACATAACAAATTACTCTGTACATTCTGTATTTTGTTTCCCTAGCTCAGCATAGCCTTGGCTCTTCCTTTTCAACCTGAGAAGATTCTTCAAGATTGAGCTTAAATGAAGGCAGGAGAGAGTAGTGGTTAAAAGCCTGTGTTTGAACTCAAGCTCTGCACAGTGTCCTTAGGCAAGCCTCACTACCTCTCTGAATTTTCTCTAAAATAATCTTCTATGGTTTTTTGGTGTTGAGGACTAAATGAGAAAATATATGAAGTGGTTAGAATAGTACCTCAAAAGAAAAGTACTCAATACATGAAAGCCACTATAATACATAACCTCTTCTAAGTCTTTCCTAATGTTCCCAGGAAGAATGCTACTTCTTTGTGCTTCTAAAAATTAAGTTTGGGCTTCCCTGGTGGTGCAGTGGTTGAGAGTCCGCCTGCCGATGCAGGGGACGCAGGTTCGTGCCCTGGTCCGGGAAGATCCCACATGCCGCAGAGCGGCTGGGCCCGTGAGCCATGGCCGCTGAGCCTGTGTGTCCGGAGCATGTGCTCCGCAACGGGAGAGGCCACAACAGTGAGAGGCCCGCATACCGCAAAAAAAAAAAAAAAAAAAAAAAAATTAAGTTTATACTTCCATATGAGCATTTATCACAAACTATCTTATTTGCCCACTTAAATGTGAGTTCCTGGGGGCTGAAATTGTGTCCTACACAATTTTTTATTGTCACACCTAGCAAGTGCCATTTAATTTGTAAGTACTCAATATTTTTTTGGATGAATGAATTATAGGCAATAAAATATAAAGCAGTGTTCCCAAATTTTAACGTGTAAGCTTTTAGAGACTATGTTTAAAATGCAGCTTCCTAAGCCCCCAACCCCAGAGACTGATTTACTAGGAACCTGTATTTTGGCAAAGTACTCACCCACACAAAGGTTATTTTGATGCACCACATTTTGAGAAACATTGTTACAAAGGATGACTTATGGGAAAACAATACTTTTTCTGAAATAAAAATAACAAGTATAAACAATCCTAGTAAATACATTTCTTATTGTCCTTTATGCTGTAGACATTATAAAAGAAGTGAAGAACAATAAGCCAATTACAAGCTCAATTATCTTTCTTTTCACACGTTGTTAACTGTGTTATAGTTAGGTATGTTACCTACACTTGGAACCTAAGACTTTCAGCTCTTCAGTAAGTTCAGGTGTCACGTGCAAGTAGTTATTAATAGGACAGAATATACTCATTATCTTCATGGTAATAATGGTGTAATTGGGTAACTTATTTTGCTGGAGATGAAGACACTATTCAGACTTTACATTAGCTGGTGTTCGGGTTAGACTTAACGTGCCCTGCCCTCCAGTATATATATGTTACAATTATAATATTTGTGTATGCCTAATTTTCCACACAGGATGAAACAGAGGCTGGTATCCTAGTGTAAATGGGGAGTGTTACTGGCCTTGTGTGAAAAGTTCTTACTTCCAGGTAAAATAACTGAAGTTGTAAAACTGCACAGAGATATCAGAGACAATAATTGATCTTTATTATACAGAAATGTGAAGGCCATATGCATTAAATGAAAAGGTGTTTTGCAATGAACATTACGCAGATTCAAACTGAAGACATCTTCATCTTATTGAGATACAATATAAAAATAAACACTGACCAAGAGTTGCTGAAAGAACTCAACTTCTACTCTCCCAATCAAGCTGAAACTTTCCACAGGAAAACCTGGTTTCAATTCATGCTGAATTGTTTTCATATGGAAAGAAAATACTAAGCCAGGTAGAGACAACCAGGGACTGGTTTTTATACTTTTAGGGAGCCAGACTGAAATGAAGCTCTACTCAGCTTCACATTTAAGAATTTGTTTCACTTCAAAATTTATATCTCTAGTCACCTAAGTGATACCTAAAGTGAAAAAAGAAAGTTAATTGAGTTGGGAATTTTGTGGAGCTAGACAGGTTTAGGGGAGAAGATGAAAGTTACAATCATTCATTTAATTACTTCTGATCAGGAAGATTTGATGTCAGGTCTGGATCATCTGTATTAGCCCTTTGATAGCCCGTTTCTCTGTAGCTGTCAAGAGGCAAGATCCATTAAAAGTATCAGCATAACAAATGCTTGACATTAGCAGTTTGGTGCCTGTCCTCTTTATATTCCCCAATACTGGGCTTTATATCAGGATGCTTTTAAGATCAAATTGCCCTTCTAAACAGGATTTTTCTTAATAAGCTTCTGTTTGCATTCACTACTGAATTAAAAAATGTTTTAGCGATTTGGTTAGACAGATGGTTGTGTTGAGACAAGACTAATGACTAGAAGGGTATCTGTGGATTAAATATAGATAAAACTACCTCCAGAACCCTTAAATATAGACAGAATCTATCAATTTATGTAGGAAGCCAAAATAGGGAACAAGAAGATCTAGAGTTTAGATACATTGTGTGGACTCAGGATGCTGCTTTCTGCAATTGAAATTTACAACTCCCTAAATTCAATCAGAGTAGGGACGTTTAAAGTAGTCAGGAGGAATCAGGATAGTCATGTGCTAAAGAGTGGAAATTCTGTTGCCACCTCCCTTTGCAAATTGTATTGTTGACTGCTTGAAGGAGGTGGTTGAGAGACACATTTTTTTCATTTAGACTTCTGTTCTAATGAATGATGGAGTAGGATAATGCTGAGAGAGAGTAGAGAATATATTTCTGGTTCTAGGACTGTGAGAACCAGGTAATCACATTTGGAATATTCTCATTAGGTTAGAAAAGGAAAAATGAGAAAACCACTAGCGGGACATGCATTTATATCCCAGAGACCATATGCTCCAAAAATTAGTTTTGTTTCCATTGCCCCTTATTCAAAGAGATGGTTACTTCAACAAGCTACATTACTTAGCAGAGCCTGAGAGACAGACTGAAAACTTATATTTAAAATGGAAAATAAAATTTTCAAAATATGATAAATGGTTTGCTCTACATCTCATTCACATTCTGTGGCTAGAGAAATCCAAATCTCACTTAGATATTCCTGCTAATGCAAAAGCACACTAGATGGAAGTAAACCAAGAAATGAGAGAAAATGTTTATTTATTGGGTGTGTGTTGGTTCACCCAGTTTATTCACCTCTGGAGTGGAAGTATAGGGAAAAATAAAGTCTGCTTATAATAGTCAAGGTTTATACAAGAGCCTTGAAGTTGCTCTCCCCAAATAACGAGTTTGATTCAAGAGAAGGAAAAAACATGATGGAAAACATCTCATCACACAAAGCTTGCTGATGGTGTCTCTGACAGTCACTGGCTGGCAAGGGAAAAGGAGAAACCCACCTGCTGGCTTTAGGATTTATTGAAGGCTGCCAGCACAGCCCAGATCATCTCTGTGGCACTGTGCTTTGTCCCCTCTACCTCAGGGTCCAGTTCCACTAGGTCCTTGGCCCGATTCATTGCCACATCATACTTGTCATCTGTCAGAGAGGAGAAGACATTCTCTAGCACGTCAGAGGAGTGGGCTAGCACCAGTAGTGCTAGTGTTCGCTTGTCCATACGCTGAGGGTCATTTACCCACCGCTCTAGGACACTGTCTTGAAGCTTTTTCACTAGTCGCTGCTTCTCTGTTGTATTGGTCACTGGGTGAGTAGTCATGTCAAATAGGAGGAAATTCTGCTTCTCAGTGGTTAGAATACCCTTCTCTACTAGGTTCTTTGCAATTCTCTCTCTTACATTTCTCAGCTGGTACTGTAATTTGAAAGGGTTCCAGGTCTCACCTATGGGAAAAATAAACAGAAGGCTTGAACAACATTATAAACCAACTAGATCTAAGAAGACATCTATAGAATATTCTACCCTATAACAGTAGAATGTACATTCTTCTCAAGTTCACATGAAACATTCTCCAGGATAGACCATATGCTAGGCCATAAAACAAACCTTAATAAATTTAAAAGGACTGAAAACATACAAAGTATGCTATCCAATCACAATGGAATTAAACTAGAAATTAATAACAGAAGGAAATTTGGGAAATTAAAAAATATGTGGAAATTAAACAACACAATCTGAAATAACCAATGAGTCAAAGAAGAAATCACAAGGAAAATTTAAAAAATACTTTTGAGTTGAATGAAAGAAACCCCACAACATACCAAAACTTATGGGATGCAGCTTAAAGCAGTACGAAGAGGGAAATTTATGATCCAAATACCTATTAGAAAAGGAGATGTCAAATCAATAACCTAACATTCTATCTTAAAAAACTAGAAAAAGAAGATTATACTAAACCCAAAGCAAGCAGGAGAAAGGAAATAATAAAGATTAGAGAGGAAACAGAGAAAATCAAATCAAAACTTGGTTCAATGAAAAGATTAAAAAAAAGGACAAACCTAGAGTGACCAAGGAAAAAAGAAAGAAGACTCAAAATTACTAAAATTAGGAATGAAAGAGGAGACATCACTACTGACCTTACAAAAATTACAAGGATTATAAGGAAATACTATGAAAAACAGGATGCCAATAAATTAGACAACCTAGAAGAATGGACAAATTCTTTGAAATACACAAATTACCTAAACCAACTCAACAAGAAAGAGAGAATTTGAATATATAAGTAAATAGATTGAATAGTAACTTTAAAACTTCCCACAAAGAAAAGTGTGGTCAAGATGGCTTTACTGGTAATTCTACCAAACATTAATGAAGAATTAATGCCAATCCTTCACAAATGCTTAAAAAAAAAGAGGAGGAAGAGGAGGGAACACTTCCTTAGTCTACACAGTATTACTCTGATAGTAAAAGGAGACAAAGACTTCACAAGAAAACTATAGACCAATATCCCTTATGAATATAGGTACAAAAATGCTCAACAAAATACTAGCAAACATATCTAGCAACATATAATAAACACTATTTGCTGGTGGTCCAGTGGTTAGGACTCTGTGCTTTCACTGCCAAGCATGTGGGTTCAATCCCTGGTCAGGGAACTAAGATCCTGAAAGCTGTGTGGTGAGGCTGAAGGACAAAACAAACAAAAAACAAAAAAAAAAGGGACTTCCCTGGTGGTGCAGTGGTTAAGAATCCGCCTGCCAATGCAGGGGACACTGGTTCGCGCCCTGGTCTGGGAAGATCCCACATGCTGTGGAGCAACTAAGCCCGTGTGCCACAACTACTGAGCCTGCGCTCTAGAGCCCATGAGCCACAACTACTGAGCCCGCGTGCCACAACTACTGAAGCCTGCGCACCTAGAGCCCATGCTCCGCAACAAGAGAATCCACCGCAATGAGAAGCCCATGCACTGCAACAAAGAGCAGCCCCTGCTCGCCACAACCAGAGAAAGCCCACGTGCAGCAACGAAGACCCAATGCAGCCAAAAATAAAGAAAGAAAGAAAAGAAAAGAAACAAAAAACTCTCCTAAACTATGTAATATGATCAGGGGGACTTGAACCAGAAATGTAAGGTTGCTTTAAAATATAAAAATCAAGTAATATGTCATGTCAATAGAATAAAAAGCAAAAACGAAGTGATCATCTCAATAGACACACAAAAAAGCATCTGATAAAATCCAACACCCTTACATGATAAAAACACTCCACAAGCTAGGAATAGACAGAAACTTTCTCAACTTGATAAAGGGAATTTGTGAAAAATGTACAGCTAGCATAATACTTAATGGGGAAAGACTGAATGTTGTCCTTCTAAGATCAGGGATAAGACAAGGAAGTCATTCTCATCACTCCTAGTACTGAAGGTTCTAGCCAGGGTAATTAGGTAAGAAAAAGAAATAAAAGGCATCCAGATTAGACAGGAACAAGTTAAACTATTTTTATTTTCAGATGACATGATCTTGTGTACAGAAAAATCTGAGAAATCTGCTTTAAAAGTATTACAGCTAATAAGTACAGCAAGGTTTCAGGATATAAGATTAATACTCAAAAATGAACTTAATTTCTATATAGTAGCAATGAACAACCTGAAAAAGAAATTAAGAAAACAACTACATTTACAAGAGCATCAAAAAGAAAATACTTAGGAATAAATTTAACAAAAGAAGTACAAGACATGTATACTGAAAATTACAAAATATTGTTGAAATTAAAGAAGATCTAAATAAATGAAAAGCTATCCCATGTTCATGTATTGGAAGACTTAATATTATTAAGATATCACTATTCCCCAAATTGATTTACAGATTCAACACAATTGCTGTCAAAATGCTAGCTTGCTTTATTGCAGAAATTGACAAGCTGATCCCAAAATTCATATGGAAATGCAAAGGACCCAGAATGGCCAAAATAATCCTGAAAAAGAACAAAGTTGGAAGACTCACACTTCCTGATTTCAAAATTACTACAAAGCTACAACAATCGAGAAGTGTTGTACTGGCATAATGACAGACATATAGATCAGTGGAAGAGTCCAGAAATAAACCCATACATTTATGGTCAAATGATTTCTGACAATGGTACCATGACAATTCATGGGAGAAAGTCTTTTTAACAATAGCAGTAGGACAATTGTATATATATCCTCATGCAAAAGAATGACATTAGAGCCCTACCTCACATCATATACAACAATGAATCTCAAAAAGGATAATAGACACAAATGAAAGAGCTAAAGCTATATAACTCCTAGAAGAAAATATGGGAATAAATTTTTATGATGTTGGGTTAGGTAATGGTTTCTTAGATATTATAACAAAATTACAAGCAACAAAAGAAAAAAAAGATTAGTTGAAATGTATCAAAATCAAAAACTTTTGTGCTTCAAAGGACACAATCAAGAAACTGAAAAGACAACTCACAAAATTTTGCAAATCATGTATCTGAAAAGATTTGTATTTAGAACATATTTTAACAGTACAACTCAGTAGTAAAAAGCAAATCCAATTTAAAAATGGGCAAAGGATCTGAATAGACAATTCTCCAAAGAAGATATACAAATGGTCAATAAGCACATATAAACATGCTCAACATCATTAGTCATTAGGGGATTGCAAATAAAAATCACAAGGCCATACCACTATATACTCACTAGGATGGCTAAAATAAAATTACAAAGACAGAGAATAACAAGTATTGATGAGGATGTAGAGGAACAGAAACTCTCACACACTGGTGGTGGGAATGTAAAACAGTATAGCCACTTTGAAAGACAGTCCCTATTTCTGTCCTCAAGAAATTTACAATCTAGAATGAGGTGAAAGTGGGGACACAAAAATAATATTTGAAGTGGGCCCTAAAGAAAAACTGGGTATAGTTGATAAGGGTCTTTAAAAAAAAAATTAATTAATTAATTAATGGCTGAGTTGGGTCTTTGTTGCTGTGCACAGGCTTCCTCTAGTTGCGGCAAGCGGGGGCTACTCTTTGTTGCGGTGCATGGGCTTCTCATTGCAGTGGCTTCTCTTGCTGTGGAGCACGGGCTCTAGGCGTGCGGGCTTAAGTAGTTGCAACATGTGGGCTCAGTAGTTGTGGACAGCAGGCTCTAGAGCTCAGGCTCAGTACTTGTGGCTCATGGGCTTAGTTCCTCCGCGGCATGTGGGATCTTCCCAGACCAGGGCTCAAACCCGTGTCCCCTGCATTGGCAGGTGGATTCTTAACCATGGCACCACCAGGGAAGCCCGATAAGGGTCTTTAAAATGTTAATCACTGAAATATTACATCTGGGACAATGGCAGAGTAACAAACACCAGAAACTCATCTCTCCACCTAGACAATAATTATACTAGTAGAATCTATCTGAAACAACTATTTTTGGAACTCTGGAGTTTCTGTGAACACTTGTAGGTTCCAGGGAAAGGCTAGGCTGGCAAACTGTGGTTAATATCAGTCAATTTCAGCCTTCAGTGCAGCAGTGACTACTCAGCCCCCAGCCCTGTGATAGGCAGCTATGGGGAGAGCAATCTGTTGTTTTGGTGTAGCTTGCTTGAGTCAGGGTGGGCAATAAGGACGTTGTCTCTGAAATATCAGGAACAGTGTTCTGATTATGGATTGCAGCTTCTGATGGCTGACATGAAGCTAAAGGCTGCCATTGTCCCAATTCCCACCAGCTGAAGCAGCTTCCAGGGGATTTAAAAAAGAAGCTTTTTTTTTTTACATTCAAAACAACTACATGTACACAGTATTTTAGAAAGCCACTGTGCTTGCTCAAGAAAAGGTGTAACCTCAGGAAAAAACAAAAACAAAAACAGCAAAGCCTGGTGGATGGGGAAAATCTGATTTCCAGAGTTATCACATTATAAGATTAAATGTCCAGTTTTCAACAACAACAACAAAAATCACAAGGCATATAGAGAAAGAGAAAGGTATGGCCCATTAAAAGGAAAAAAAGAAAATGACATAATTTGCACTTGAGGAAGTCCAGGTGTCAAGTTTACTGGACAAAGACTTGAAAACAACTGTCTTAGAGTTGTTCCTTTATAATGCTTCCTTTAGCAAATATCTAAAGGAAGACATGGGCAAAGACAGGAAAATGATGTATGAACAAAATTAGAATACCAACAAAGAGACAGAAATTATAAAAAGGAACCAAAAAGAAAGTCTGGAGCTTAAATACAATAACTAAAATGAAGAATACACTATATGGGTTCAAAAACAGATTTAAGCAGGCAGAAGAAATAATTAGCAAATTTGAAGATAGGACAACTGAAGTAATAAAGTCTGGGGAACAACAGCAAAAAAAGTGAATGGAGCCCTAAGGGACCTCTGAGACACCATCAAATGGACAAATATTTTCACTGTAGGAAACCCAGAGGAGAAGAGAGAGAAAAAAGGGCAGGAAAAATATTTGAAAAAATAATGGCTGAAAACTTTCCAAATTTCATGAAATATACGAATCTACAAATCTAAGAAGCTTAATGAGCTCAGTGTTGACTAGAACATCCATCTGAGACACATCATAATCAAATTATTGAAAGCCAAAGATAAATAATCTTTTTCTTAACCATTTTTTAAATTGAAGTATAGTTAATTTACAATGTTGTGTTAGTTTCAGGTACAGAGCACAGTGATTCAGTTACATATATATACCTATATTCTTTTTTCAGATTCTTTTCCATTATAGGTTATTATAAGATTTTTTCCATTATAGGTTATTATGATATATTGAATATAGTTCCCTGTGCTATACAGTAGGTCCTTGTTATTTATCTATTTTATATTTAATGGTGTGTATATGTTAATCCCAAACTCCTAATTTATCTCCCCCACACCCTGCCTCTGCTATCCACTTTGGTAACCTCATTAGTACAGTTAAACAGTGAACCATATATATCTTACGCAGCACCCTGATCTTCGATACTTCTTCTCCCAACCTTAAGAGTAGGATAAAAATTATAAAATGTGGGATTTTAAAATCATTCTGAGTCATCTTACCAGTGAGTAGCTCTATCCATGTTTGGACAGTTTCTGTGGGTTCAGTTGCTTTGATGTGTTTGAGAGTTTCATCCAGTAAAACATCACCCGTTGGGCTGTCTGACTTTAGTAATACCTTTCAGAAAAGAAGAAACAAGAGACCCTGGTTGATATACTTCATTCAAATTAAAGTTATTCAATATGCTATACATATATTATTGGTTAAGTCATAGGAAATGCAAAGCAGCATAACATATTTTCTCTGTCCTCAGAAATTTAAAATCTAGTATGGGGTGATAATAGGGAGATAAAAAAAAAACATTTGAAGTGGGCCCCAATGACAAACTGGATATAAATGATAATGGAGAAAAGATTCAATAACTCTTTGAGCCTGGAAAACCAACTTGTAAAACAATTAATAAAGATAGAAAAGTCAGGAAAAGTTGATGAAGTTTGGTTTTAACTGATATGGGATAGCCAAGTTGAAATGTCTGGACAATACTTAACTATGTTCCTGGGGGTGGAAAAAGAAGACAGGCCTAGAAATTTGGGAGTTACTATATCATGGGGGTGATAGATTAAGCTGTAAAAGTAAATGATATCTCCAAAGTTATACAAAGTGATACAAACTGAGACTTAGATGTTAAGGAATGGAAAAGTAAAGGAAATAGGGTACAGCCAGAAAAGCAAGAGGATGTAATATAACAAAGGTCAAGAACAGATGGGACTTTCCTGGTAGTCCAGTGGTTAAGAATCTACCTTCCAATGCAGGGGATGCAGGTTTGATCCCTGGTCGTGGAACTAAGATCCCACATGCTGGGCAATTAAGCCCGTGCACTGCAACTACTGAGCCCACGTGCCACAACCAGAGAGAAGCCCATGCACCACAACTAGAGAAGCCCGCAGGCTGCAATGAGGATCCCGCATGCCGCAACTAAGACCCGACACAGACAAATAAAAATAAATAAATAAATAAATAAATATATTTTTTAAAAGAACAGAAGGTTTCAAGTAAGAGGTAGTCAAAAGTGTTGAACACCACATATAGGTTAAAAGAGAAAAATAAATTGAAGACTGAAAATGAGCTGGTGACACCTAAGAATGTAGTTTCAGTAGACTGCTGAGTATGACAGTGAAGTTGTGAGTGGAAAAAATGAGTAGTAAGAAAATGGAGAGAGTGGTATACCTCATAGGCTAGAGAGAACTTGCAAAATACTTGGAAGGAGGGAAATTGAATGGTTTTCTGAGGATGACCAGAGTTAAGTAAAGACTGCACCTGACCCACATGTTTGCCTCTTCATATACAATACTCTATTTCATAATATTATAGGTACAGATATAGAGAGAAAAATAATCAACATCATCCTAAATGTGATTTTTCTGCATAAAAATGGAAGACAAAATCATGAATTTCTTATAACTCTTTTGACCATGGATACTTGGATTTCTTTCCCTGCTACAGGATAATTAAACCTGCTAGACAATGGGACAACTGAATAAGTAATATTTATATTGTCTCACTACTCAAATCTTCCTATTCATCCGAAATGGACTGTTGGTATCTGCCCTTTCATAAGAGGATGTTCGCAGAGGACGCTCTACCTTTCTGTCTAGTAGTCGCTTCTTACGCATGGTGGGGGGTTCTAGATAGATTCGACCTCGCATGGCCAGCTCTATCAGGATGCCCCCTCGCAGGCCAGATGATATGCAGTCATTCCAGAAAGATGTGTAACCCTAGGAAAGGGGAAAAGAGAAGAGAAAGAATGTTCTGAAAGGGATATGGACTTGCGGTAAGCACCCAAAGAATGGTCCACTTTGTTGTGTGATTCATTTCACTTCACATTACATGAACTCAAGGCAACGTATAAAATAAATGAAAAAAATCTCTTTAAGTCCCTTAATCTAACCCCCCCTACCTCAAAGTATGACTTTCTGTCTAACTTCAAGGTCTTTGTGAATTCCTGTGGTTTGGCTGTTAGTTAACAATTGGCATGCCAAATTTTAATTTTTGAGAAGACTTTTGGCTTCTTTGAAATCTGTTTCCATGACACTCTAAATTTCAGAGTTGGATACAAATAGGTCAAGTAGAAAAATGTATAAATCATTTGAGTCTTTTACGCCTCCAAGACATGTATTATTTGCAAGCTATTTTGATGGGTGGTGTAGTCAGCTCTGCCACTGACTAGTTAAATGCCTTGGGTATGTTACTTAGCCTTTCTCAAGTGCAATGTCCTCATCTGTAAAATGGGGGCACTGATATCTATCTTTATAAGTTTATTGTGAGGAATAAGTGAGATATATACAAGAAACCATTTAGTATAGTACCTGGCATATCATAGGCACTTAAATGTTAGTTTCTCTTCCCTAGGAACTATAGGGAACACAAAGGTATATAGTTAATAGCCACTGTCTTAAGGAGCTGAAAATGTAGCTGGAAAGACTATGCAAACTCCAGGAAAATTTTCTGTGATAATATAAAATTTAAATAAAAGCTCAACCGAAAATGGAGTAGAAGAGACAGGCATAAATCACTATAGGAAGTTTGGCTTGTTTGTTTATTTTTAATTAATCAATCAATTTACTTATCTATTTATTGGTGGCGTTGGGTCTTCGTTGCTGCGTGCAGGCTTTCTCTAGTTGCAGCAAGCAGGGGCTGCTCTTCGTTGTGGTGCATGGGCTTCTCATTGCAGTGGCTTCTCTTGCTGTGAAGCACGGGCTTTAGGCATGTGGGCTTCAGTAGTTGCGGCACGCAGGCTCAGTAGTTGTGGCTTGCGGGCTCTAGAGTGCAGACTCAGTAGTTGTGGCGCACGGGTTTAGTTGCTCCAAAGCATGTGGAATCTTCCCTGACCAGGGCTCGAACCCGTGTCCCCTGCACTGGCAGGTGAATTCTTAACTGCTGCACCATCAGGGAAGTCCCGGAAGTTTGGTTTAGATGACAGTTTTTCAAATTATAAATCACTTTTGGGCTAGAGTAGTCAGAAGCTCTTATGGAACTTGAGCCGGGGTTTGAAGAATACGTTGAATTTAGCAGAAAGGGTGGATTTTCCAGATGAAGGAAGTCATCCAAATTTTACCTATTCTTCAAAAGGGCGTTCCAAGTAAAAGTGTCAAGGAAGGAGACCTCAAATATGTTTACAGATTTAACTCAAGAATTTAAAGAGAACTCATGAGATCAAGTTGGTTGGGCTAGGCTGTGGAAAGCCTTGATGCTCTGAACTTTTTATTGAAAGGCAATTTTAAATTCTGAACGTTCTGAACAAGGAGTTATGATTAACACAAGGAAGACCCATCAGTGTTATCAGAACTGTTTAACACTCTTTAGCTATCTTTGTGTGTAGCATTCCCTCTCACTGGAGAGAAGGTGGGTGTGATGTTGGCAGATTCTAGCATGGCTTTAAAGCATCACCAAGACTAAGTCACTAGTAATAACAGTAATGTCTAATATTTATTGAACACTTATTATGCAGTAGATTTGTACTAAGCTTTTTTGCATGCATTATATGATTACATCTTCACAACAATCTTATAAGGGAGGTATTACTATTATCCACATTTTAAAGATGAGGAAATAAAGGCTTATGGAGGTTATGTAATATGATGGAGGTCACAAAGCTAAGTGGTGGCAAAAAATTAAAAAACATCTTTTAAAAATTCCAGTTTTCCTCTTTATTGATTTGGAAGTTGTACATTCTCTTTTCTTTAGGAAGTTATTTTTGAAATTTTAACATGCATGATCATTTAAAATTCATACAAGATCTAATTTATTTTTAAAACAAATCAATATATTAATCACTCTCCTAGTTTGCCAATATTTTATCTTTTTTTTAACCTCACAAATTAGACATCATTATTAGCATCATTGTTATTTTATACAGGTAGCCCTTGTTTAGATTTACTCGGTTGCTTACCAAATTCTTTGCTGACCATTCCTTCGTGCATCTCAGACCTCCTTTCTGGTACCATTTTCCTTCCTCCTAAAGTAGAATTTCCTTAAATGAAAGTCTGTTGGAGGCAAACTCTATTTTGTTTATATGAAATGTCTTTATTTTACCATTGTTTTTAAAATGCTGCTTCTCTGGACATAAAATTCTAGGTTGATAGTTTTCTCTTTATCACATTGAAGATATTATGCCCTCCTAACTTCCACTGTTGCAGTGAGAAATCTATCACTCTTATTGTGGTAGGCGATTTGTCTTTTTTCTTTGGTCATTTAAGGTCTTCTCTCTTGGTGTTTTGCAGTTTGACTACAACATGACTGTGTGTGAACTTACGCATCCTGTTTGGTAATATGCTTCCTGTGTCTGTACGTTCATTTTTTCTTTTTTTTTTGAGGTACGCAGGACTCTCACTGTTGTGGCCTCTCCCATTGCGGAGCACAGGCTCCGGACACACAGGCCTAGCGGCCATGGCTCACGGGCCCAGCCGCTCTGCGGCATGTGGGATCCTCCCAGACCGGGGCACAAACCCGTGACCCCTGCATCGGCAGGTGGACTCTCAACCACTGCGCCACCAGGGAAGCCCTGTACGTTCATTTTTTACTTCTCAAAAATTCTCAATTCTTATCTCTAAGAATTTTGGCTTTCCTTCATTTCCTTTTTTCTTTCTTTCAATCTTTCTTATTCTAACCTCCATGTCTTTTAATCTCTCCTTTATATTTTCCATTTCCTTTGTCCTATATTGCTTTCACAAGAGTTAGTTCATATCTGGCTTCCAATTTACTCTCTCCATTTATATTTAATATGTTAAACTATCCCTGAGATTTTGATTTCAACTATTTTTCATCTCTAAAAGTTTTATTTAGTTATTTTTCACATTTGCCTGGTCATTTGTGATCATTTCTTCTTGTTCATTTTGTGATTTTTATATTTCTTTAAAAATATCATAGATACTTCATATTGATCGTTTTAATATCTAAGGTCCTTGAATGACCTATTATTTGTTATTTCTGCTGATTCTTTCTCACGTGTATTTTTCTTTGTATGTTTGATGATATTTGATTAAGAGGTCCATATTTAATTTTCTTTGAATCTACGAGATTCTGGAGGCCTAAATTGAGGATATTTTCCTCTAGAGAGGAAGATCTGCACTTGCTTCTGCTGAGAGTAAGGCATGGTAGACTGGGAGACTGCCATACAACAGGGACCACATTTAAACCTAGCTTCTACATTTTATTTCAACCCAAAAGTTTATTCCTGACCACCTAATTCCTGAATCTCTGTACTGATCTGGTAATTTGCCCCAGAGCAATCTGGTTTTCATGTCTGTTTTTTGCTCAAGTCTAGGATTTTAATTTTGGTGTTTGTTTGGGGGCCCTGAAGATTTCCTTTCCATTCCAAAGGCCCAACAATACATTAAAAATTAAGTCTTACCACTATACTGCCAGAAGTAGAGGTCTTCTAATTCCATTTTTCCCACAGCCAGCATGATCTTTAAGCTCAAAGCTAATCATATAACTCCCTTCCCTTCTGCTTAAAAATCTTTCAAATGCTCCTCCCAGTCAAATCCAAATTTCTTAATAATAGCTCTTAAATCAGGAGGCTGCTTACTAGTCTCTCTCTGGCTTCTTTCCACTAGAACACTATGCCCCAGCTTTCTGGAACCATTTTAAGTACTCTTAATGCATCATTTTTGCCTACTGGCCTTTGCACACACAGTTCTCTCTGTCTAGAAGAACCAATACTCTTCTTTACTCAACTCCTCCTTGTTCTTTTTTTTTTTTTTTTTTTTTATAGCTGTGTTGGGTCTTCATTTCTGTGCATGGGCTTTCTCTAGTTGTGGCAAGTGGGGGTCACTCTTCATCGCGGTGCGCAGGCCTCTCACTATCGCGGCCTCTGTTGTTGCGGAGCACAGGGCTCCAGACGGCAGGCTCAGTAATTGTGGCTCACGGGCCCAGTTGCTCCATGGCATGTGGGATTTTTCCAGACCAGGGCTCGAACCTGTGTTGTCTGCATTGGCAGGCAGATTCTCAACCACTGCGCCACCAGGGAAGCCCCCTCCTTGTTCTTAAGGATTGAGTACAAGGGTCACATCTTCCATGTTACCTTCTCCAACATTATCTTTCCCTCCACTCCATCCTTTGGGTTAGATTCCTCACCTGAGGGTGTGTGTGTGTGTGTGTGTGTGTGTGTGTGTGTGTGTGTGTGTGTCTACTTCTCCCCTATCATTTATTATATCACACTGCAACCAACTGCTTGTCCTCAGTAGACTATAAATTCCTTACGGAGAGAGTATATGACTGATATACAGTATTTCTCAACAAATGTTTTTTGAAAGCATAAATTTATGATTGAGAGTAAATATGTTAACCTGGCAAAAGGTCAGCTTGAATCATAAGCATCCCTAGACATATCCAAATTTCCTGAGGGCCTGATCTTAGACTAAAACGTGGGATTAATTCTCTCCACTGCCCGCCTCATGGCTACTTCAGGAGTAATACTTGTAACTCCTCTTTAAGGAGGGAGTAAGCCTTTTTTTTCCCAATTAATACTTGGTTTATACAAGTTAGCTGCCTCATTAAGGTTAAACTATAACTTTACTTTATAATATATAATATACTTAGGCATAACTTTTATATAATCCTGATGACTTTATGAATCTCAACAGGTGTGCAAACATTTCAGCCAGTATTAAAGCAATTAGAGGAAAGTTTATCTTGTTTTTTCATTTCTGCCTGACCATATAACTTCTGTTTCAGTAACAATGATGTCAGATTGTCAAAAGAACCATAAATGAGA